CTTCAGATAAAGTTTTGAAAATTTTAATGTTGTCTCTATCTTTAAACTCTCATTTTTGTGAAGTTTGCAGATTCTCGAAACAAACGAGATTTCCTTTTCAGTCTTCTATAGAAATTTCAAATGAACCCTCTTATTTGATAAATTATGATGTGTGGGGACCAACCCTAGTTGATTTTTATGCTGGTTTTAAATATTTTGTTACTTTTACAAATGATTGGCCTTGTGCTACTTGGGTATATTTATTGAAATAAAAAAACAAGTTTTTCGTATATTTAAAAAAAATTTCAAACTAATTTTCACTCAATATAATGGCAATAGTAGAATTCTGAAAACTGATAATGGCACAGAGTATGTGAACAAAGCGCTTTTTGAGCATTTATATAATCTTAATATTATACACCAAACATTTTATGTTGGAACACCTTAGCATGATGGAGTTACTGAAAGGAAAAATAGACACTTTTTTTAAGCTACGAGGTCTTTGATGTTTTAGATACATGTTCCAAAAATTTATTAGTTTGAAACTGCTTTAAGTGCTTACTACTTGATTAACAGACTTCCGAGTAAAAATTCTTAAGGATAAATTAACCCTTGAAGTTTTGAAAGATAAAAAAACTGATTTGTCTCATTTATGTGTATTTAGATGCGTGTCTTATGTTCATGTGGATGGGCATAACCGGGATAAACTTATTAAACATTCTAGGAGATGTATCTTTTTTGGATACTCCTCTACTCAAAAGGGATACAAATGTTATGATCCCACAACCAGAAAAATGTATATTTTTCGATATGTTCAATTTGTTGATACAATGTTATATTTCCATGACACATTGGTAGTGGTCTGGAAAATATGACTAAATGAGAGAGTTCAAGAGTTAGTTTGCCCTTGCCTAATATTAGTACCAGTGATGTGTCCAATACACCCCAAACAAGTCATAGTGAACAAGGTGAAGCTGAAGATACCTATGAAACTCACCAAACTAGTTTAGAAGAAGAAGATTCCACTGTGGCCCCACCTGATCCCCCCTTGCACAAGCCTTCTCTTATCTCGCAACCTTCCTCTAGACTTCAAGAGTTTTATGCTTATTATGCAGTTTATTATCTTGTTCAAAATCATATTTCCTATGAAAACTATTTTTTTTGTGTTTTCTTCTAATAATTTTGTGCAAACCAATTTTCAAATCATATTTCCTATGAAAACCAATTTTTTTGTTGTTTAGTCTAATAATTTTGTGCAAACTAATTTTCAAAATGTTATTTTCCAACCTGTGTGGAGGAAGGTCATGAGAGTGGAACTTCAAGCACTTGACAAGAACCATACATAGGACATTGTCAAGTTACCTAAAGGGAAGAAAGCAGTTGGATGTAGATAGTTTTTAAAATAAAATATAATAGTGATGGGTCTGTTGAGATGTATAAGGCCAGGTTGGTGGCCAAAGGATTTACCCAAACTTCTGGAGTTAACTATAAATAAACTTTTGTACCAGTTGCAAGATGAAATACGGTTCGTATTCGTTTGTCTATCACAGTTGATTGGAGGTGGTCTCTACATCAGATGGATATTAAAAATGCCTCCTTACATGGTGACATTGAAGAAGAAGTCTATATGAGTCTTCCTCCAAGTTATTCTAAACCAAAAGAGAAAGGTCTTGTATGTAAATTAAAGAAAGCCTTACATGGATTTAAACAATCGAATTGCGCACACTATGCCAAACTCAGCTAAGCTTTAATGAATGTCGAGTTTCTTAGAAGTTTAGTTGATTCTTAGATGTTCATAAAAAGAGGAACTTCAAATACAACAGTTTCACACATTTATGTTGATGATATTGTCATGACAGGTGATGATAAAGAAATAATCATAAAGCTTAAAAATTATCTTTACAAGAAATTTGATATCAAGTACCTTGGTCAACTAAAGTATTTTCTTGGTATTGAATTGGCATATTTAAAAAATAGATTTTCATTCATCAAATGAAATATATCTTAGACATGTTGAAAGAAACTGGAAAACTGGGAGTCAAACATGTTGACACTGCTATTGATATTAATTACAAGCTTAATTCAAGAAATGGACAACCTCTTGAAGATCTGGATCGCTTTTAGGAACTTGTGGACAGATTGATTTATTTGACTATGGCACGACCAAATATAACGTATGCGGATAGCCTTGTGAGTTGATTTATGCATGCTCTTAGAAGGCTATCAAAAGGACTCTCAGATATCTTAAGCAGTCACCTAGCAGAGGTGTTTGAATAAAACCAAATGATCACACTAATATTATTAGTTATTCTGATGCTGACTGGGTGGGTAATCCAATTGACACGAGTCCACTATTGGCTATTATAAGTTGGTTGGAAGAAACTTAGTTACGTTAAAAAGAAAAAAACAAAGAGGTTGAATATAAAGGTACTGCCTCTACTACAAGTGAATTAATATGACTAAAATCACTACTTTGAGATATGGGGTTCCAAATATCAATCCAGTAGAGATGTTCTCTGATAATTAACTAGCTGTGCATATAGCCTCCAATTCAGTTTTTCATGAAAGAACCAAGTATATAGAAATTGATTGTCACTTTGTGAGAGAAATGGTTCAATAAAATTTTTTTAATACTCCTCATGTTCGAATTAAACCAAAGTGCAATCATTTTTACCAAAACTATTGCAAAGACAAAATTCCATTAGAATTGTCCAAGTTAGGCTCCCTGGATATCTACGCACCAACTTGAGGGGGAGTGTTGATAGATGCAAGATATTAATCTTCTTATCTTGTGGATTACAAGATATTGAGTTTCCTATAGCTTCCTATATTGAGTTTATTATTTTGTGGGATTACAGTTGTAATAAGATTTATTTCCTGAATGGCAAGAATTGTAACTTTATATATCTCTGATAAACCAGAGTAATCCCTATAAATGAGATACTAGTTTACCACGTATATGCCTTGTTAATCTCTTCACAAAAATAGATAAAAGAAAACTATATTTTATTCCAATATTTTTTTTACTACCAAATTATTTCTAATTTTTACTATTTTAATACTTTAGAAATTATATGAAACTAATTTTTAAAAAAAATTAAATGCATAAAAGTTCATTCCAAATAACATTTTTTATACTTTTCCAATAGATTTTATCATTGCATTTCTCTTTGTAATTAAATATTTTCATTTCATTAAAAAATTAATTGTGAATTTTCATGATTCTCAAAAAAATTATGATTTTAAATATTTTATTATAAATTTTATAACTATTCCAAACTGGCATACTAATTTTTAATCTATAAATTTCATATTCCCAATAATCTCTATGACTAATACCATTCTCTTTTTTTTTCCCCTTTCTTCATGTTTTCTAACAGTTTGAAGTTAATTGCATTTTTCTTGACCAAAAGCAGGAAACCAGCTTTATTTTTTTAGGATTTTTTTAATCACTTTAAAAAGGGTACCGATTTTATTGAATTTTTGAAAAATTGAAATTTTAAAGTGTCCTAAATAAAATATGTTGGACCAAATGTAAAATCAGTTTTAGATATCTTGCATTTTGTAAATATTGAATTTATTATGCTTCAAACTTTCATTAATGACATTCCTTTTTATAAGAGCTTTCGAATATAAATTGAGGTTATTTTACGCAAATTTTCTTTATTTTAAATTTTGTTTATAATTCCATTTAAAGTATTCTACAACAAATTTCTAAATGCTCACAACTCTAATATTTTTATATAATTCTTTGGAATATTGAAATAAGGATGTTTTAACCTCCATCTATTATTAGAATAGTATATTGAAATTGTATTATTGATTTCTTTTATTCTTTTATTTATTTTTATTTTAATTTATCTATGCTCACATTTTATAGTAAAATGTATTACTAATTTCGTTTTTTCTCTGTAGTATTTTTGTCATTCTTCTATTTCTCATTACATTTACAGATGCAACGCACGTCAATCTATTAGTAAAAAATCAAAGACAAACATTGTTTAGTCGTAACATGGTGACTGAACAAACGGTTGTGGGGAGGGGTAGCCCTTCCTATAATAACCTCACAATCCCTTTTAATTTTGGATACTATAAAGCCTGAAAAGCAAATAAAAAGACTTTCAAATCTTAGTATGGAAGCACGCTATAATGGTTCTAAAATCAATTTTCAACATCGACAATAAATTTGAAACTCTAAAAATCATCCAGATCTAGATAATTTGTTAAATTATAAACTATGATTTAGAGTTTGCCATCCTTAATTTTTTTAATAAAAATGATAATGTCCGATGTAAAAATCTTCCAATGCTTGAATTACAATTTTTAATGAGTTATTAAGTAAGACTTTACTTATTTTAATAGGGTTGCAGCCCTACCAAATTATTTTCCTTTAATTTTAGGGACCGCCTTGTTTCATGGACTTAAATTTATTACCTTAACATAACCATTTTGTTTAAGTAATTATGATAACAATCTGTTAAAATAATACTCGGACCCATCTGTCACGCCGGTGTTCTCTACCGCTGTATATCAAGTTCACTAGTTATCTGAGGGTATGGAGCATGTGCCACTTGTTCAATCACACAAACAAAACCAGTGTTCGAAAACAAGACCATACCACGGGGCTCAACCCGCTAGCCAAACTGAGTAATCTAAAGGTCTAAAAAATTGCAAAAATGTGGATTTTAAAAAATCAATTTGTGATGGGAGATATTTTAAAAATAATCCAAAAACAAGGAAAACAATAATAATAATAAGTATTCTTGGCCAAAATACTTTTCAATCTTTGCCAAAATGATAAAAAATATATATAAAAAACAAATGACAAATAAATTTCTTCTTTTTTAGAATTTTTTTTTTAAGCTTTTTTTTTTAAGATCCCCGTGTTGGACTACCCAACTCAAGGATACCCTAACGAATCCGAGTTGGCTCACCGAGTTTTTGAATACTACACCAGTCAATGGGTAATTAATTACAAAACCATAGTCTGAGCCATATGAATGAGACTCGTGGCCAGAAAAGGACATTCAAACTAAATCATATAGATTGCAGAAACAATGAGTTGTACAGTTCCTAAAACTTTCGACCTATTACAGAAACCTGATTTTCTCACACTCATTCCAAAGTGCAGACTTGGGCTTAATTTAGAAGCCTAAAGGGAAATCAATAGCTTCCAATTGAGCAACAGTCTATTAACTTAAAATGTTAATTTGTGATAAGGCTAACTTATTAGGAGACTTCAAGCTTCATTTATGATCTGATGAACTTCTGGCGCTTCCATGAAGAAATACTGCACCAATTCAAGAGTCCATATGAGATGGCAAGTAAAAAATATCTTATGGGCAAAAGGAAAGTCTCATGCATTTACAACATACATACATACATGTATACATACAAACATACATACATATGTAAATAAGTGCACACATAATAAACATAAATGTGTGCATATTACCTCAAAGGACTTGCCAGACTGTTCATACTCGAGCATACTTAGCGCAACTTCACAACTTTGAGAAACAATAGGTTCAGAGTCTGCTTTAAATTCCTCAAGAAGTGAGATGCTGTCATGGTCTGCAATAAAAGCCCCAAGATTAAGGACTAGATTTTAAAATGACAAAAAGGATAAAAATAAGGAACCCAAAAGGCAACTACACAACTATCTGTGCCATGTGAAAGAAAGAAAATTTCACTGAACTATTTGTATATGGTGCCATCAACAAATATGATACTAGTACTCTTTTACTAAGAACAAACCTAATCATGCATAATTTTGCTAGTATTCAGTTAAATCTAAAGGATACTTCAATTAAATCTGCTTGCAATACTTGCACTAGCTGAAGGACATGCTCCTGCCTTTTTGAGAGAGCATGCGCCTCTCTCTCTCTCTCTCTCACACACACACACACAAATCACAGAATTTATAAAATATTCAGGAAAACAGATATCTAAGTTACTGATTCTTTGAAAATTTGCTAAACCCTGTATAGTTTGCAAAATTACAGTGATCTATTTAATCAATAGAAGGTGGGGCAACATGACACTACCACACAGGTTTTAGGGGCTGCCAGTAGTTATCCTCAAAGGTTCCTCCCATGACTTTCAAACTTATTAATAGCATCAGATTTAGACAGCTAAGTGGAGTAGCATCTAGAGTTATTCTGAGAGACTTTCTACAAAATATTAAGCAGATAAATCAAGGACTTCTTGCCAACTGGAGTACAGAGATCTATGAATAATCACTTGGATAAAAGTTGCTCAGAAAGTGATTCCATAGTGGAGCATTATAAAGTTTGCCCTGGAACAGACCAAAGTTTATTGGCCAAAAACTTAAAAAATAGCACAATTTTTAGAACTTGGACTTTCAGTGGATGTAATTATATTGCTCTATTAAATCACGAAAGACTCCAGGTTTGCCAACTGATAAAAGGGTAAATTGTCCTGTTTCTCTGTGCTACGGAGACCCAAAAAATTCGTTGACTAAACTTTACAAATCCAAAACATAACCAAGCCAAAAAAGATTCTGTAATGCATGCATTGAAGAATAGCAGCACCCGAACAAATCCAAGACAATGTTGGTTTTCTGTGACCTTTCAAGACCTAGACATCATGAAACTCATGCTGCACCCAAACAAATCCAAGATAGTGTTAGTTTTGTGCAACCTTCCAAGGCCTAGACATCATGTAACTCATGCCCTTTTATTACTTTGATGGCTCCAATTGGAGCTCTGAAATGGGACATGGGTAGCTAGCCTACCCTTTGTGACTCACCATGCCAATGCAGTTTGAAGCCTGGTAGAGGTGTCTATGATTCACGGAAACCCTTGATCATAGGTTTTGGGCAGGAGCCTGGTTATTGTGAGGATTTAAGGGTAATACCTCAGTCGAGGTTGGCAGGTGCCATGGTCAGAGCCAGGACAGCGTATTCCCATGAGGAAGAGGCGGCATTTGACAACAACGGCAAACCCTCAACATAGACCCATCTATGCCATGTGCATATGTCAACTGCATTTGATGGGAAGCCACTTTCTTGGGAGAGCGTAGGTGATAGGACATGCACATGTGCGAAGAGAGGAACCCCCACATCCTTGTGTTGTGCTCAGTGTACTTATCCTTCGAAGTACACCTAGAGTCCACTAAACCCCAGAACTCCACTGCCTATTGGTTGGCTTTGATGGGCCAATCATGGTCCATTGGTCCAAATGGCCAATGTACCTTACTTGAGTATATGGGCCTAGGCACAGGCCCCTTGGTGAGCCATGACGTCATGATGTAGTAATGAAGTGAGCGCCAAGGATCTCCTTGGTATACTCGTAATTGTCGTTTGTGGAGTCATGTGGTATTTTGATTTGGGATTGTCTACAAAGAGGTCATTTATCTTTTGTATAAGAAGGTCACAATCACTCTTGTCCCTTAAATTTCAAAATGGGTGGTTGTGAGAGTGTCTTTGAATAGACATAAAGTTCCAAAAAAAAATTCTCGAACTTCGTGACTCACCCTAAACCATCCAATATGCCATCTAATGAGTGAGAATAGTTGCGATCCTGAGAATAGTTGCAATATCCTTGTACAAAAGATAAATGGTCTCTTTCTAGACAATCCCTTCTGATTTTAAGGCACATTTAATGGGAGATGAGGGGCAAACTTTGTTCTTTTCCACCAGAGGTCAAAAAGCAAGTTTTTTCTTTGGTCTATGCCTGAACACATGTCACAAAATGGCCATTGCATGCATGTTACCCTTGGATTACAACATATCTGTGAGTTTGTTAAAGTGAGAGAGAAGCCTCATAGAATATTCTATATCTCTCTTCTCGTGTAAAAGAAGAGAACTGGGCTGTCCATGTGTGGCACGCCATTCCTCTTTTTCTCTATACCTTTTTTTCATTAACAGATGTGTTTCAATTAAAGGATAAAGTTTTTTCAATTGGTTAATGTGATATGACAACATAGAAATATATATAGTTTTAAATCAAGGGGAATTAGTGTTTGCAAAGCAAGGGGTTATGGTATCATCCCAACCCCTGATTGATGATAGCTCATCAATACTTGAATGGCCTGGATGAAGCCTCTCTTCACCCCCATTGATTTCCTAGATCAATGGCCCACATTGCTCTAAATAAAGAAGCTGCCAGGCCGACAACAAACTCTTACTCTCATCTATAGAGAGAGGTCGGCTCATTTCTTACCCATCTCAAAGTAATGTTAAGCTGCTGAAATTTTTCCCCAAAGAATAATTTGCTTACTTGATCCAGTAGAAGACATTGTCACAGCTCACGGATTAAATCTCAATCACACAGACAAAGTAATTGACAAAGTACCAATATACGTGTATCACCTAATCAACAAACCTAAAAATACACAAGATGAAAATATTAAAAGAGAACGTAGGACAAAAAAATTCAATCCAATCCTTTCTAGTGTGTCGGGTTTACTTGTATTCTTATTTCTTCATGTGAACAGTACTCATGAACAATAATATAAACAATATGGTGAACAATACCTTGAACAGTATAGTGAACAATATCCTAAACAGTAAAAAGTATTAACACTAGAGAGTGAGGGAAAAGAAGAGCAAAAGAAAAAGAGAAGAGAGAAATATTGTCTATCGATACCTTAAAAATGCACACTTAATACCTCGGGGATGTAATTTGTCTATTCTAGGTCCTAAGACCTAAACAAAGCAAACACACCCAGGAACTCTAGGGGGCGTAGTAATCTCACTCTCTCCTCTCTTCTCTTTCACCTTTTCTCTCTTCTCTTTCTTTTCCTATTCTTTTCCCTTTCTCTCTCTACTTTTGACACTTTTTATTATTCATGGTATTGTTCGCAGCACTGTTCACGGTATTGTTCACAGCACTGTTCACGGTATTGTTCACAACATTATTCATAGTATTGTTCATGAGTAACTTTCATATGAAGAAATAAAAATACAAAGTAAATCCAACACACTAAGGATTGAATTGAATTTTTCTTGTCTTTTTTTAATAATTTTACCTTGTGCATGTTGAGGTTTGTTGATTAGGTGATACAGTACATTGATACTATGTCAATTACTCTGTACCTATGAGTTGAGAATTAAGTCCTACGTCATGACAATCTGTTCCACCGGATCAACTGATCAAGTAAGCAAACTGATCTAGGTTGTAAGTATGGAACATATCAATATCCCCTTGACAAGAATAGGGTGGAGTGTAATGCAAAAAATCATATAATGCTAGCATTAACAGAAAGAAAGATTTAGCTGGCATTAGAGGCGATGTGGCCCCATGAACTCTAGTTCCAGCTGATGCTAGGAGAGAGATGAAAGAGCACTTGCGGGGGTGAAAAATAAGAAAGAGAAGGTCAAGAGAAGATATGAAGAATTAGTATGGAGTCGAGATATTTTTGAAGTTCAGAAAGAGGAATAAGACGTTTATGGTGAGGTTGGATCTTCTAATAGGCCATTGGTATCTATGCATAAGAGACCCAAAAGAAGAGGGCTTATGGATGCTTACTTTTTCCCCCTCGATCCTGAGAACTTACCATAAGAAAGGGATCAAAGAAGTTTAGAGACTCACATTAAAAAAGAGGATAGAGAAAGGTGGCACAATATGTGGCCAGATGGTTCTTTCAAGCAAGCATTTCTTTTAACACCGCTAACTTGAATAGCTTCTAGGCTATATGTTGGGAGCAATTAACCAATTTGGGCTAGGGATGAAGGCTCCAACTGCATATAAGCTTAAGGAGCCATTGCTTAAGAAAGAAGCAGACCTCACTAATAACCTTTTGAACACCCACATGAATGCGCAGATATATGCATGCACTATCATGACTGACGGTTGGAGCGATAAGAGGAATATAAGCATTTTGAATTTGATTGTGACATGTCTCATTAGGGACAATATTCTAAAGGTTTATTGATGCTTCTGACGAGTCCCATGATGTGGAGGTCATTTGGAACTTGGTAGAGGTGCATAGAGGAGGTAAGGGGGGATAAAATAGTCCAAGTAGTGATCAATATGTACTCAGTCAATATAGCAGCCACTAGGTTATTGATGGAGAAGACACGACATTTTTTCTAGTCTCGGTGCATAGACCTTATGCTTGAGGCAATTGGTAAGAGGAAGTCCATCCAGACAACCATAAAAAAAGTGAGGACCATTACAGTTTATTTATACAATCACACTCAAGTAAGAACCTGACCGGTACTATTTTTATGCTTATTTGTTAATTATTTTGATTCAACACTGAATCATTGAAAGTTTGACAGTTAGGGAAATCTATTTTGGTCAAGTTTTAATCATGATGAGGAAGTTCATTGAGTTTAAAGCCTTGGTGAGTCCTCGAGTGACTAGATTTGCCACCTCCTACTTGTCCTTGCAATCCTTGTATGATCAGAAGGTAAAGCTGAGGTTGATGTTTGTATCTGAGGATTGGAGCAATTCCAAGTGGCCCAAGAAAGCCGATGAGAAAGCAGTTTTGGATATAACCTGGACTTATGATTTTGGAATAGGGTCCAGTAAGCCTCGTATGTTTTTGCCCATTTAAAAGGGTTCTCAAGATGGTCGACGTTGAGAAGAAACCAACTACAAGGCACATTTACAAACCTATGGAGGACTGCAAAGGAAGAAATCAAGAGAATGTTTTAGGAATGCTGAGAAAAAGTATGGGGAATGTTTGAAGATTGTTAAAGATAAATTGAACTACTAGCTTAAGAGGCCCCTACACTTAGCAGGGTACTACCTTAACCCTGCTCACTTTTATACAGATCAAGAAATACATAGCAAGAGTGAATTCATGGAAGCATTCAACCAGTGCAATATGAAGCTCAACCCTTATCCCAAAGTGCAGGACAAGGTAATCATGGAATTAGAAAGGTATAAGCTTTCCACTAGGTCTCTTGGTAAGGAGCAGGAAATCAGGTAGAGGACCAAGATCTCTCCCAGTGAGATTAGAACTTCCTCATTTTGATTTTATAATTTGAGTATTAAATTTTATTTACACAGACACCTAATTTACTACATTTACATGCATGTGAAATAGATGCATGGTGGATGGCCACGGGGGGAGCACCCCAAATTTGCAGTAGATGGCAATGCACATACTGAATCTGATTTGCAAGTCATTTGGATGTGAGCACAACTTCAACACCTTTGAAATGGTAATATTACTAAATACTTAGTTACTTACATAGTATTTTCTTAGTTTATTAGCATATTATGTATTTATGTTTTCGTAAATTTTAATTGTTCATTCAACTTTTATCTAATAGGTGGATACAAAGAAGAGAAACCGCCTAGAGGAAAAGCGATTGAATGACCTAATATTTGTTCAATATAATCAGATGTTGCCAGAGCGCCATGAACAGCTGGAGCACAATGAAAAGGAGGCTATTGAAACTACTGATATGGGTGACACATGCAGGTGGCTAGTTGATGCCAAGGATGATGAGGTATTCCTTGGAGAGACCATGACCTAGGGCCAGGTTCATGAGGCTGTTGGGACAACAATGAACCTTGTGCGGACCACTCGAGCTCAATCTCAAAGCCAAAGGAAGGAAAAGGGAAGGTAAAGGAGAAGGGCAAAAGGTCTACAAGATTAAGATAGGAGGATGAAGCAGATTCAGAAGAGAGAAGGGATGATGCTCAATGTGTTGAGGAGGGCGATAACCCTGATGATGATGGCATGGCATCATCATCAGATTCTGCTCAAAATGAAGCACTTGAGCACCCCGGGTGGTGATGGCTTACAGTTGAGAGTTGACATTTAAGTTTCGCGGTGGTGAGATATATTTGTTTTTGTCTTTTTGACTTTTGATGGCAGACTTACCTAGTTACCCCTTTGTGACTTTGTTTATTATTTCTACAATGATGTTTGGGATTTGATGCAATTTGATGTGTCTTACAATCTCTCAATACCTGTAATATTTGTTTTTTTTTCTTTATCGTGAGGGGTTTGGGACTCTTAAATTGCCCTAACAACTCCCTAGGACCTAGACCCCTGGTTGTTTGTTTTTGGGAGGGTTCTTCCTACCCTGACCTTGTTCCTAGGCAGGTGCACCCAAAATACCTAGACGGACGCCTCCGCTTTCTTGAACATTGTATGTGTATGTGGCAGCCCCTTCATGCTCCCTTGCTGTGGTCCATGTTATGCTCATGATCAACACTTGAGAGCACACGTTTTTGGCACGCCACCCTACTCATTTTGCATCAGAAATCGATCCTTTTCTCCATCAATTTGAGAGAGTTATGACTGCTTATTCAGTCTTCCTACATTTAGAACTCGGTGGGGCCTCGGATCCCTGTGGTATTAGAGGCGGAAATCTGACATGGGGTGCACGTAGTCCCTTGAGGTAATCTTGGGCACTTTCTCTTTGTAAATATGGCTCCCCATGGTCCATTAGATTTTGTAACTTTAGTGACTTGCATGAATTTGAGTATGTAATGTTAAGATTTTCATCAAAGTGCTTGTAGTGATGTCTATGTAATTTTTATGCACTTGCTCTGATATACTTGTGCTGAAAGTTTACTTGCATGTGAATTGTTTTATACAAAGCAATCTCAATTGTTTCTTTAAAATTGAGTGGTGACATATTATAGGTGTATCTTGGGCCTTGTAGCAGTCAGATTTGTTGTAAATTTGAGTCTCATTGCATTGGTTTGGCTGTTATTTGCATTAGACATGTTTATGTGCATGGGTATATGTCAACTTAATGCATAAAATTGTTAAGTGTATACTCTTCGTACACCATTGCATAGACCTTTCAGATAGACATACTTGTTAAAAAGTCCTCACTCATAAGCCAGAGCTAAGAATCATGCTGTCATGCATATAGTCGCATTGTCACAAACTCTCAACCAGCCTTTTTTGGCTGATAGTAATAAGAAATGATTATCATAATAGAAAAGCTGCCTATTGTGATAGCAAAAGCGAAAGCAGTTACCTGCAATGGAACCCAGAGCTTCAGCAGCTTCATGTCTAACCATTGGGTGCTCACAAGAATTCCTAAGTATGTCTGAGAGTGCGGCAGAAGCAGCTTTATCTTGTAGTTGACCCAATACATATGCAACCTACAAAATTTAGAGATTCTAAATTACAAACATACTGAAAACAGGACACTATAAACATATTACAGCTGACCTCTAACAGCATAAGACATTAAGAACAAGATACAAGCATTAAAATGAGTAACTCGGCATTTTATAGTACTACTGTTAGAAATTCCATGCTTTTTCATTTTTAGAAGTTGAAGAATTCAACATCATGCATAATGAGATGTGGAGCAGAAAGGGCCTGGTAAAGCCGTAAAGGAGAATAAGATATTTGAAATTCATGTAAATGACTAGTGCTTTGAAGCTTTTACTTTGGCACCCTAGGTTGCCCGTTCAACTCCTGCTCCAACAATCAAAGAAATTCAAGAATTCCAATAAGTTTTTGACAAACAAGCAGCTAAAAAACTTAATACAGTGTAGAGTCTGATTCTGCATACCATGGCGCATTTATGCAAGCAGCATAACACTATGCTCACTGAACCTCAACCATCCATTGTCAAAATGGATGAGCAAAAGTGTTCTTTGGTTGCCCCAAGGGCAAATCCTACCACTAACCCACCAAAGAAAATATAAATGTAATACTGATACTGTAAAAAACACAAACAAACCTACCACAAAGTATAGATTATAAATAATAACCAAAAAGGAAACCATAAAACAACAAATAAAGTCCAAGCAGGTCCAGGCACTTCTGTAGCTGCCAATGCATAAAACAATCAAGCAGTGTAGATAGGGCTACCTCACCTCTGGCACTAGCTTAAGTCACCGTCTGTAATTAAGCTAATTTCATAATTTCATTTACTCATAAGCATCCAAACATTTACTTTTTCTCTTTACAAGTAAATAGACAATCAGATCAAAATATTCCTTGCAAACTCATAGCATGGAGGCACAACCAGGCTTTGAAACTGCAGGGGACATACTTGAGATTTGAGGGATTATTTCAAGGGCACTCTAGAGGCAAGTGGGGCAGGCTCCAGGCACATGCAAAGGAGTGGCTTGTACCTTTAGGTGTCACTGCCTGCGTTTTCTAGCCAAGGAGCACCAGTTGAACCACTAGGTTACCATCTCACATAAGTTCAATGCCTAGGCTAGCACCTCAATATTTAGAAAAACACAGCTCAACTAAGCAATTATATTCAGCAATGTTGCAACATCTATACATGTCCATAGTCTAATTGGATACCAAGGCAATAGGCATCTTGTCTAATTTCTTTATTTAATCAATGACTAATAAGTTGGTTTTGATAAACTTTATTCTTAATCAAATCATCACTTCGAAGATTTGATGTGGTCATCAATATGCCATGAAAATTGCTTTCCAAAGCCAAGGGAATGACCTGTCTCAGCCAATGTACCAAAGCAACAAGTCCCAGGCACATTTTGGTGGGCCTGACAAGACACACATGTCCGACATGCGTCTCGACAAGCCACAAGACAGAACCTTTTCTGTGTGAGAGATGTGTCCCTTGGCATATCAAATATCCACACATAAGTCCAATACTCGACACGTGGCTTAATATCTGGACACGCATGTCTATCACAAACATGCATCCAAAAGCCAGTACTGCTGCACAATACAACACATTTATGATTTAGAAATACACTTTTTTACAGTTAAATTTCATTATTTAGAATCACAAACTACATTTATTGATAAATATATATAGACATATCCATTTTATGGATTTGCATGGGATGCGTTATGTTTGACACATCACATTATGAGCAGCCATAGTTTCAAAAAGCAGGCCATCTAGGACCTAAGTGGGCCAAGGGAGCCTGGGCGATGGCTAAGGCAGCCCTTCTGGATACTAGGTCCCCAGACACCCGCTCACGGACCCTAGGGCTAGGTGGACACCTAGAGACTTTGCCCGCCCAAGGGCAAAGATGCCCCTCGCGGAGGGGCATTTTAGGCCTTTTTCCCCTAAATAAGGCAGGGAAAAAGAAAGGGAGGGGTTTAGGTTTTATTGTCACCTAAACCTCCTTTTTCTTAACTTTTCGAGTGAAAAAAATAGAAAAAATTGCATTTTTTGCATTTTTGTAAGATCGATTGAGTAATTCAAAGATTTGAAAAATCAAACCAAACATCATCCTTTTGGTTTCGATTTTATTTTGTAGAATTTAAAAGCAGTTTTAGGAAGCATTTAAGATTGGGAAACATCTCAAAGGTGGAAGATTGAAGATCAAGCATCTCAGTTCTATCCAAGGTCTGGTCTACCATTGCTCCTCCCAAAATATGGACCTTCAACTGGATTGCCTGCTCTCAACGGCTCTCACAGTTGACCAGCTTGAAAAGAAAGGGATTCCAATCCCATTAGATGCACCATGTGTTTGAGTGAGGAGGAATCAAATCCACACCTCTTTATTCACTGCAGCCTCGCTTATGACTTGTGGAGCTAAGTGCTACAGCTGTTCTGCCTTCAATGGGTCACTCCACCCTCGGTTAAAGCTCTTATCTCCTCGTACCATGCTTCTCATTGGCTGAAGGGTGGTAGAACCTTGTGGAAGGCTGCCATCGCAGCCACCACTGGGTCATCTGGTTAGAAAGGAATGCCCCTCTTCCAAGGCCACAAAAACGTAGTCTCAGCTCTCTTCCACAAGGTTACTTCTCTAGTAACTTTCTGGGCCCCCAACCACAAGGCCTTCCGAGATTTCAGCAAACACTTTTGTCAGCCAATGGGAAAACATCTTCAATCTCCAACCACAGAAGGTCCAAAGACCCAACAACTGGCTGCCACCTCCAAAAGGTGCTATTAAGCTTAATTTCGATGATGCCCTCCGAGACCATCATCGCTATATCTTGTTCACCTTTTCCGAACACTTAGGTCATGAAGATTCGTAGTATGCTGAAGCCATGGCTCTGCTCTTGGGTCTTAAAAGCTTGAACCGTTCATGGGGATCCCACCTGCTGGTGGAAGGAGATGCCCAAAATATCATTTCCTGGGCAATAGGGACTTCACCACCTCCATGGTACCTATCTTCGATTTTTTATCAGATTGCTTACACTTACAAGGATATGGTCGTCTCATGGAAGCATATTTGGAGGACATCCAACGAGTTCACCGATCTTCTGATGAAAGACAGAGCTAGGGCCCAAGCAGAAGACCCCGTCCAGTCCATCTCCTTTTTTGCTCTGGACCACAGAGGGCGTAACGGTGTTTAGCTACACCTTAGTACATTTCTTGTAATGGGGCAAGTCTATAAGCCCCATTTTTCCTAACTCCAAAGATACCTATTGTAATTAGGCTGGTCTATAAGCCCAATTTTTTGTATAGGGTCATTTGACCTATTTTTTGATCGAGAGACCTGACTTGTGGGTACTCTCGGATACCTCTTCTGTACTCCAACACTCTATAGCAATACAAAAGTTAACTTTACTCAAAATAAAAAGATTGAAGATCAAGCAATCCAAGTTAGTGAAAACATTTCATATTTGAAATTGCTTTAATTATTTTCTCAAAAAAAATTGTTTTAATTATTCCAAAATGTCTTCTTTGAGTTCTACTAGAAGTGGTGACCCAGGTTGGAAACACAGTTATAACCCGAATCCTCTAGATAATTGTATAAGATGTAATTATTGAAAAAGAGATACCAATAGGGGTATAAACCGGTTCAAGAAACATCTTGCTAATAGAGGGGATCTTGTCCCTTATAAAAAGGTTCTTGAAGCGATTAGAGAGGAAATTAGAAATTACATGAATTTAGAAATAAGGAAAAAAGAAGAAAAAAGAGCCCCGCATAGCAGAGTTGAGGGCTGGGGTTCATATTTGTTATGATGATGAGATTGATGAGGGGATGATGCAGTGGAGCAGCTTGCTTTGGACCTAAAACAGATAGATGAGACACCTCCAACCCCTCAAACAGATAGATGAGACACCTCCAACCCCTAAAACAGGTAGATGAGAAACCTCCAACCACAATTGACTGCCTAGGCACCGCCCGGCATTCTGAAACATGGCAAGCAGTTGTTTCAAACAGGATGTATGTAACTAACGTAAACATGTTTCTATAGTACCTAATGTACAAGTGTTCCAATAAAATAGATCTCAGCTTCTGTTGAAAAAACGACCCTCGAAGCCTCGTTTGGGTACCTAGAGATGCAGGTCTTAGGAGATGCCTATCCTAGAATTGATATCTCCTGGAATTGGCATCTCTTAAAATATGGGTGTTTGTTGTTTGAATAATATCTAATGAGAGACTGCAAGATGCATATCCACTGTTTGAATTGCGTTAAAATTATTGTACTATAGTAATATTATTAATATACTATAGTAATAATAAATATTATAATATAATATTATCATTGTATTCTAATAATATTATTAACAATATCATTAATATAAGAATAGTTAATACTAATGTCATTGTATTATAATGATTTAATATTTTATTACTAATAAAAAGTATTAATAATATTATATACAAATAATAGTACAATATATTAATAATAACCATCATAACATTATAATAATAACAATTTATTATTATTATAGATTATATATTAGCATAGTTTCAAAAAGCGCCAGGCGACCCCAGGAGGCCATGGGGGTCCAGGCCGGATCACCAATTCTAGAAGAACTTGGAGAAGATATTTTCGTAAAATAAGGCTCATTTTCATCATTTTCATCCCGAATAGCTTCAGGAACCTTTTTACAAGAAGCAACATTCCCTTTACTACTAACAAGGTATTTCTTGAATCGGTTAATACCGCCATTGATATTTTTTTCACAAAAATTACACCTTATACAATTTTTATCGTTTGGTTTTGGGTTATAACCATACTTCCAACCCGGATCACTTCTTCTAGAAGTAACAGAAATAGATCTATTCAAATGACAAGCACTTTGTTCCTGTTTTAGTTTTACAAAACTCATATATTGCTTAATCTCCTCTCTGATAGCTTCAAGAACATTTTTACAGGGGGCAACATCCCCCTTAATACCAGCAAGATGCTTCTTAAACCGGTTTATTCCCCATTTCGTATCTTATTCACAATTTTTGTCATTTGGATTTGG